GAACAAAGTTCAGACGTCGGCAGCTATTTTCATTACGGGAAGTCTACCGGCCAGTCCATCAAATGCTTTGGAAAGCTACTTACTTATTTGACAATCTCTTTTCCCCGGATAGGAATGAATGCTAAATGCTCTGGGTTAGAGTGGCACAGCCATCTTCAAGGAATGTTCTACATTCGATAAAAGGACAGGTAGTGGAACTCACTCACTCACTCACTAATTAATTAGAGGTTACCAGACTACTGCATGCCTTCCAAGCAGAACTTATTGAAATAACGAAAGTCGCAGAATGTTTACTCGGATCTGTGGATCAATCAATCACCATGTACTCGGATATCTGTGCTACCATCGGATCTCAATGGAATGACACCACATCAAGTGGCATTAAAATGCAAAAGTTTTCGGCTAGTTAGCACACAGCCGTGATTTGGATGCCCGACCTCAGGGACATCCAAGGGAACTGTGTGACAGATGAGTTAGCGAAAGTTAACCAGAATAAATCGTACTCGAAAGAAAGTGTTTGCGCAGGATTTATGGTCCTCGGCGTGTTTGGAACGGCGAATACCGCAGCGGCAATGTAACGAACGAACGAAACATCGAAAAGAAGGAATGAATGGCGCGTTGTTGTTAACTCGGCTATAACCGCGTAAACGGTGTCTACGAAAGTAAATAGAAGAAGAAGAAGAACGTAATTTAGGACAACAGGTATACTGCTATGCATCTCAAAGGGGATTATAACTCCTTCGTCACGCCTATTATATGGAGTAATTTTTTTTTTAAACCCATCCCAATCAAAAGACCGTAGTAAAATTTAAGCAAACAAAAAACCTTGTTTTCTTTATTATTAACAAACCAAATTAAAATACAATAAAGTGAATGATTATTTTTTTAATTAGTTTTTAACAAAAGAAAAATAATATCAAAATAGTAGTAATAATACATAATAGATTTTTCATTTTTGAACATATTTATATGCATATATGTACGTACGTGTACAATACATATAGTGTTTGTATATGTCAATGTGAAAATATGTATGTATGTAGTAATTTCGTAATATTCTGTTAACATTTTAAGACGTTTACTTAATAATTAGATATTTATACATATTTAGTCTTTATTTTATTTATTACATATACTGTTTGAATTTATCATTTTTTTATTTTTATTTTTTTGTTTTTGTTCGTTTACTCACCCTATACATACACATATAATTTTATTTCTTTTCAATGGTTTTTTGTTCAATTATTGTATTTATTCATAAAGTATTATTATATTTATATTGCAAGTTGTGATTACATTTAAGTTCATCCATTTCATGTACATATGTATTTATGTAAGTGTATAATTTAAAATTGTCAATACAATCATATTTGAATGTACATACATATTTATGTATGTGTGATTTGATTAAATACATACATAGCAATTATATTTTTCTGCACATACATATGTGTGCTAAGCTTATACATATATATATATAATATATATATGAGTATGCACGTGTGCAAACAATGATAAGTAAAAAATTGAAAAATAATAAAAGATTAAAAACAATTACTTGTAGTGCTTCATTCTTGGCCCTGTCATAATATACATACATTTATACATAACTTGAAATATCATTTTTTCATTTTTTTTTTCAATTATAATAACTAAATACTTACATATGTATGTATGTCTACAGGTATACATACATATATACCACCTATAACTTTTGTAATCTTATTTCTCAGCTTGCATATGTATTTGTTCCATTCCAAAAAAGTGTGTTTTACGTGTTTATACATGCATGTATGTATAATAATATTTATATATAAGTAATGACTAAAAAAAATTTATTTTACTTTTTGCATGTTTTTGTTTCTATTGTAAATTGTTATTTAAATTAAATGTCATATCGTTAATTTGTAATAACATATACATACTTACACATATGTACATACACACATATATATATATATATATATAGCCATGGTCACGCAATAGCAATAGCACAAATATATCATAGAGGAAAATGCAGAGCAATATTTTCCGAATTCAAACCTGTAATCCTCTTTACTTCTTTAACATAATTTACATTGGTATTTTGTATAATCCACACATTTATTATATATAATTGTATTTTGTTGTATCAATTTATTTTATGGAGCTATTAGCCACTGCAGTCAAATCGCTATAAAAAAAAATCGCTTGGAGTTTGCCAAGACACAAGAGAACCGGAAGTTAAGTTTCTGGAAAAATGTATCATAAACCGATGAAATTGAAATAAATAGAAAGTCCCCAGTGGGCAAAAAATATTTCATGGTCAAAGAGATAAAAATTTTAAACCCTGGTCTATATACAAAAATAAAAAAAAATACAATAAAACATTCTGGCGAAAGCAGATAGCATTATGATTTGGAGTGTATTTTCCTGGCATCGAGTGGGGCAAGTCGAAACGAATATATGAATATAATATCAATATTTGGCCACCCCAAAGAGAAAAATGAAACCTTTCATACGAAAATTCCATGCCAATAAACTGGACTTTTCTGCTTGATAATGAGCCTAAATAAACCGCGTAGGTCAAACTAGATTAGCTTAAGATCAAAATACGTGTCTGGCCAACGCAATGAATATATTATAAAGAAAAAGATGTGATAAAATTTTTTAAATAATTTGAACATTTGTAGCAGGGCATCAAGGAGGTGTGTAAGGTACGTCATACCAAGAGAAATGTATTTGAAGAAATTTGTTGGCATACAAAAATCAGAGATTTAGCACAAAGTATTAAGAAATTAAGACCTATTTTACACTAATTCTGTTTTGGAGATGTGTCAGCTTTCATATTATAAAATTATATTGTAAATTTTGCAATATTTACCATTTGGGTGACCAAAGCAGTTTATTAGGAGACTCAAACTTTACATTATTTTCAGTTTCCATTGAATTATTATTTAGTTTTTATATAAAGGTTGTGTTGTTATTTTCAATTATAATAAATAAACAATAATAATAAACATGTTAATATATTTTTATAATAATTTGATAATATAAGCACATGTATGTATGTATATTTATCATAACTTAAATTTCAAAAGTAGAAATGTGCTATTTACATAACCATGGCTGCATACATTATATATACATACATATTATATGTAAACATGCTATTATATATTATTACAATTTTTGTTTTTAATTAATCCGCTATTACTTCTTTGGTTTTACTGTTTTCATAGTTTCTATTGGTGCTTTCTTATTATATTCTATAATTTAACGAATTGCATTTAAAAATTTTCAACTTTTTCTTTATGTGAAATTTAAACAAAATTGCTATTTTAACTTTTGAATTTTGAAAAATTGAAAATAAAATCGATTTTTGAACATTCCATGGAATCACGTACATTTATGTACATATGTACATTTTCTTATATTTTTTTAAGTTTCGAATTTACATGTACTCAATTTATTTACTTGGGAAGTGTAAAAAATGTCGCAAAATAATTAATTTAATTGTTTTAAATTAAATACTAACGACGTAAATTATTTTTTTGCGGGTAATCCAGTGTATTTAATCCAATTGGTATGCAAATAAATTCTAATAATTGTAATTGTTTTTTTTTTTTTACTGATTTTTAAATTTTTTTTTATAAGCAAAAGTGATCATTTTACGAATAGAAGAAATTCGTTCCACGCAACTGCACAGGCAATTTGAGCACTTTTCAGTTCGTTATTTACATAGTATATTCTATTGAGTCGTATGTATGCCATCAAGTTTTAAGTTTCAAATTTTTTCGGAGAATAATCTCGGTTCTATTGATGTATTTTTGATTGCTACTATTTGTTCGCATATTGCAAGATTTCTTGTAAATAACAACACTTAAAAATAATTTCAGTTTTACATGTATGAAAAATAAACTTATGCTCATATATATGCATACATACATATGTATGTACATACATCAAATTTATACATTTTTCATAAATCTTTCCACATTCACCGAGCGTTGTAAGAAAATAATAATTTACTTTGAACAAAAATAAAATGAAGTGAGCGTTAGAAATAAAAGGACAATTTTAATGTATGCACAATAAACTTTATTTATTTAAATTAAATCATCAAAAGACAACAATATCCAGTCAGAGTATAGGAAATTCGCAAAAACTTATGTTTCATCAAATTATTATTAAATTAACAAAAATATAATTATAATAGTCGACATGTTACCGCTGAAGCAATTTTCAGCCGAAAATATAAATAAAATAAAATATTAATAATAATTATTATTTACAGATTGCAACTGAATAATGTTAAGATAAGAAAACTTGTAAGCGTTTCAGACGTCAGGAGACGAAAAAAGATGTTTAACATATAAAATGAGCTTAAAGTTTGTTTCATTGCGAGTTACCATTTTTTTAATAACAGTATAAAAAAAAAAACATTAAATTATTATAATTCCGAAAATGATAACTAACACGACTAACTAGATGATATATATTTGTATTAACCTACAAGTACTCACTCCAGTACAAGTTTACCTCTAATTTATTGCATAATCATCTGTTTCTTTAACAAAATACAAATATTATTTTTACTAAATAAATATTAAGTTTGAATAAATATTTTTGTTTACTAACTTTTATTGCATTCAGATAGCTGTAAAGAATATACATATGTATATATGCATAACTACATGGATCGTCAAATGTATTGAATATATGTACATATTTATATATGTATATACGAATAGAATAACTCCATCAAATTCAATATGAGCATAGCATAAGTGATTATTTATATAAGTATGTATTTATAGATGTATGTATATGTATTTGTTTTATATATATATTGGATTAACATTTTATTTATTTCATTTTGTTGTAGAAATGTTTTTAGCTGACCCAGCGCTTTTTTAAGGAAATTCATTATTTTTTTTTTTTGCACTCAAAATACGTACAAACTATGTAAATATGTATATACTTTTGCTCTACTGCATATCTAGAGAAATAATTTGCAAATACGCAAATCTCTAAACCACAAAGAAAAAAAAAATGAAAATAAAGTTTTTGAAAAGTAAATCATTATAAGGATTAGGTTCTAAGAAAACCTCGCTAGACTACACTAAGAAATACTTAATACAATATTCTGTTATCATTAAATTTTAAAAATTACATTTTTATGAATATCCGTTAGCATAAAGATGGTTATGTACATGTGCCTATGTATTTATGTAAATATTATGAAGCCATTGCTCTTACTAACCCAGTACAGATACAACAACATTTTCAAAGCAAAAACCTTCATTGAATGCAAATTTTTATGAGTAAATTTTTTAGTGAGTAGATAAAAAGTTTCCTGAAAATTCAACACAAACTAAATATATATATATATATATATTTACATACAAAATATACATAAGTATATATACATTAAGAAAGGATTGTGAATGTCGCTTGCTTTTATAGCAATTCTCGTATGAGGGTTTTTGCAATGTAACTATTAAAAAAAAATAAAATAAAAAGAAAAAAAAACGAAGTAAAACAAGAATAAATAAATAAATTTAAGCAGGCTTCATATATTATGTATATATTACATTTCAAAACGATACCGTCATTTAAATTATATTGATCAACCAATACATAACCAAGCTAATTTTCCAGTTTATTGATAATCGAATTCATTTAGCATTATCCTAGGCATATAGACGCATGCTTACATACAGTGTTAAGTTATTCAACTAACGTTAAATATCAGTATAATAATCTCCATTAGCACAGCAATGGAACTATTCGTAGTATTATTACTAAAGCCCCCAACTGCAACGTTCACATTCGTTTAAAAATGTGTCGAAATTCGCTAATTTCCACTCTTTTCTTCACATTTCATACAAAATATTACATTTCGTGCTTGTATTTACGAGTAGATAACTGGCTAGTTGTTGCTTTGAATGCTATACGGCCGAGTTGCCTTGATAGCTGCGTTGCAGTTGCTTGTCCGCCTGCTGCAAGACGCTTCTACTTCTTACGCGTGTATCTTATGTCACGATACAGATGTTGCAAAGAACTCTTGCAAACGCTGCACGGTTATGCGATCAAGTTTACATAGATCAAAATCGAAGGTTTTCGCCGTTATCTCATAACAACCAGTCGCAGCAATCAATTCGACAACCTGTTGCAACTCCTCGTTGTCCTGTAGCGTCATAATTTTGTGATGTAATTCCTGTAATTCAGTTAGGTATTCATTTGGTACTATTGGTGTTGCACCGTTGTTTGCATTTGCTGTCTCTGCTACGGACGCTCCTACAGTTCCAGTCGGTGATGCAGGTCGGAGTGGATGAGGAGGTGCTAGTGGCGCGGCTGCAGTGACAGTTATCGAGGCGCTCGTATTCGTGTTCGCATTTGTGCTGACGTTGCTGGCGCTTGTATTGGCACTGGTAGTGGCTACGGTATTGGATGTAGCAGCAGGCGAACTGCTCATACTTGTGCCCGTCGCATTTTGGGGTGGCGGTAAAAATGTAATGCCACTGTTTGATCCATCCATAGTGTTGTTGCTGGTATTTTGTGCTGTTGTGTTGTTGTTGCCGCCACTAACGCCGCCGCTGATGGTATTTACATTAGTGTTGCTGATGCCGATAGGACCACTTATGCTTGCGGCCCGACTATGTCGCAATGCAGGGGACTTTACTTGATCGCGGGCCGCTTTGCTAGATTCTTTTTTGGCCTGTTTCACTGGCGGTTCTATGAATGTATTCGCCGATACAGTGGCAGCAGCCACTGAGCTTCGACGTCTTTTCTTTTCTACTTTATCTACTTTCTTTTCGATCTTGTCTGGTTTATCGGCTGTGTCCTTCGCTTTTGTGTTACGTTCACTACCACGCGATTTGTGTTCTTTACCCGTAGTTGAATTCTTGTCTACTTTCTCAGCTGTTGTTATGTCCGATTTATTACTGGGCGATGTTGTTGTTGTTGTTTTGTTAGACTCTGGCGGCTTCGGCACCAAATCCGGGAAACTACTATTCGAGCTGTCCGAATGTATAGCGGCTGGCGTGTTGCCAGCTGCTGTAACGGCCGCTGTCGCCGAGGATTGTGTTACTGTTGGTGATGTTGTCGCTGATCGGGCAGGTTCATTTAATGTAAGCGCTTTTTCAACTTCCATTGTATCAGCACTTTTACTGCTATTAGCGGAGTTATTACTGCTGGTTGTTGCAGATGCTGTTGCAGAGCCGGTACCAGTATTTGTTTTGGGATGTTTATGGTTGCCTCGTGGTTCTAATTCGCCAACTTCCGCAGAATTTCGTTTGTCTTCTTTGGATGTCTTCTCTCTGGACTTCTTTTCTTTGCTTTGTGACTTTTTGGTCGGAGCAGTAGATACCACTCCGGTGTTGTTATTGTTATTAAGGCTGTTGCTATTTGCAAGATTGTTTGTGGAATTCACCAAAGCAGCAACGTTTGCTTCGGTTTTGGTCGAATCACTAAGAGGCGCATGGTCATCTGAAGGCAAAGCTGTGGATTTAGTACCAGGGGCATTTGCAGAGGTATTTGTCGTTAAGTTTGGATTATTATTCGTATTTGTGTCTGCATGCTTGTCAGAGCGCGTCTTTTCATCGGAGCGATCCTTATCACGATCTTTCTCCTTTTCTCTTTCTTTATGCTTGTCCTTTTCGCGCTCCTTATCACGTTCCTTATCTTTGTCTTTGTTTTTGTCTTTTTTCTTGTGCTTATGTGACTTTTTCTCCTTATCTTTTTCTTTATCCTTTTCCTTCTCTACCTTCTCTCCTTGATTGTTTGTGGCGCTTGAGGATTTCTTATCGCCACTTACAGTTGATGTACTAGCTGTTTGAGCAGTTATCGAATTTGACAATACCTTTTCGTTGGTTTTTGTCGTATTTGCTGACTTTGCCCCTTCCATTTTATCCTTACTATCCTTTTCGGTTTTCTTTACGTTTAAATTTGCCGGGGAGCTTCGGCCCTTAATATCTTTAGCGTCAGCTGCAACACCGTTACCACTAGCAACATGTGTCGTAGCATTGCTGCCACTGGCACTTACGCTAACGTTTCCTGTAACGGTACTACCATGGCGTTCATCTTTTGATTCTTTTAATTTTCCTTCGGCACTACGATGTTTCTCTTTATGCTCATCTCGACGCTCTTTGTCACGATCTTTTCCCTTATCTTTCTTTTCTTTCTTGGATTTTTTACCACTTGAACTCGACTTTTCTTCGCGGGGCTTTGACTCTTTGCTCTCCACCCTGTTACTGCCGGAAGGTTTAACTTCTTCAACACGGCCACTAGCGGAGGATGACGGCCTGGGCGGAGTAGGTCGCTTTGGACTCGGTGCACCAAGATCGCGCGCACTACTCTTCGGACTTAGCGGTCGTTTGGTGGCACCACTTGCACCTTTCTCACGACTACGTTCACGTTCTTTGTCTCTAGATTTATCCTTCTTAGATTTAGACTCTTCACGCTTTTCATGTTTACTGCTTTCACCGGACTTTTTGCTCTCACCGCGTGACTCTTTGTGTGGGCTTGAATTGGACTTGTGTTTTTCCTTTTTATCCGATTTTTCACGCAGTTTTTCGGTGCCTGTCGACTGCGCCGTTGACGAGCTGTGAGTTTTGTCCCGTTCCTTGCTAGATTTATCTTTTGAATTTGCGTTGCTAGTGTTGTTACTTCCAGAGTTAGGAGTGCTACCTCCTCCACTAACACTGCTGCTCGCACTGGCCGGGTTTGGTACAGCTTTGCCACCCACAGTATTCGTAGCGTTATTTTTGCTATCTGGCGAGTGTTTATTAGATGCGCTTTTGATTGGTGCGCCGAAAAGATTAGCAAACGAGTTACTCTTAGAATCATCCACACGAGTTTTATGTTTTTTACTATTACTTCCACCAACAGTATCACCGCTAGTCAACTTCGGCTTGCTAATCATACCACCACCTTCATCGCTCAAAGCGGCATTCGGAGTGGTATTACTTGGTAGTGCAGCAGTTCCACCAACCATGCCTGCGCCTGTCACTGGTATGCCACCACCTTTAAGCAACTTCTGACGAAAATCTTCCGTAACATGGTCAAATACAAACTTCTGAACTTCTGAACGATGATGTGGAGGTCCGGTCTGTTGCAAATCTAGATCGTAAGTAAATTGAATGCGCTTTGGCTCGTCACGATTACGAACATAAATATCGATTGGCAGCAGAAAACCGGCGTATCCTGACTCAGTTATAACATATGGCGGCTTATTACAAACTGCAAGAGGAAAATTAAAAAAAAAATATTAGAAATATGAAAAAGTATAAACTTGCATTAAAAAATTAAAAAATCTGTATTTAATTAAGCACAAATTAATATAATATATAAACACACTTGAGATTCATGAACTAACTAATCGAACAGATTTTTCGTATATTTATTTTTATTAGGTGTGAAAATTTAAATCTCTCAAAGGTATCTTGATTAGGGTTGAATACGTGTATGTATATATATATATCCATATATATATGTATGTGTGTGTGGGAGCGTTTCGATATTGAAAAATTGGTCTTAACGTTGAGGAGAAAACTAATTAATGGTGTAAAGCACCACTCGAAATGTGATTCTTCGGATGAGGGTGATTAAAGATAACAGTAAGCACACATGTGACCAACGTATATATGTTTGTATATAGTATAAGCATATCTGGCGTACAGTTAAATATTTACGAAATTTGTGGGTACATGTGTATACATTCATGGCTACATGTACATATGTATGCACATTCATTACCTGCATATTCCTCCTAACTTAAGTGAGTCGAATTAAACCCCCATTACATGAATATAGAAGGCGTATATCTGGATTTTATGTGGATTCATTTTCACTTTCACTAGTTCACTAATTAATAGATTAACAAAGCCAGAAGTGTTCCATTGGTCAACTAAAAGGCATAATAGTGTGTAATTTGTTCTGTTGACAGTTAATGATTCTCATACATCCACTTGTGAAGTGGACTATTTCTAAGATATTAAATTGTACTGGAATATAACCAGTTATGTACAAAAATATATATATTTTTAATATAATTATAAACTTTTAATATAATTATTTGCATAATTTTCGCATGTATATGTACATACATATGTACATGCATAGGTATATTCACATTTGAAAATAAAACGCTTCGCGTACTCAGCGAAAAATCAACAACGACAATCATCACGCGTCAGAGAACATCAAGCTAAAAGAAACACAACACGATAAATTGGTTGCTCTGTTAATGAGGAGGAGCCGGGTTCTCGTTTGCAAAATGCGCGTAGAAAAACAAAACGAGAATTGTAAACAAATAAAAGCAACAACCAAATAAAGTTAACAAGGATTTGTTAAAAGCAAATGTTATGCGCAACATTCAGGCAAGCCAAACCACCCTCTAAGCCAAGAGCCATCTACCCTTAAAATAAGCCGCAACTCAAACAACTACCAACCCCTTAAAAAAACATTATCATGATGCTTTTTTTGTGTGAACACACGTGCATATGAATGAAATTGTTTTTGATCATAATGGTAAATGCATGAGCACTTGCCAACAAACATATGTACACACATAGATGAAATGAATTAGAGATAACAGATAGAAAAGATAGATAGTTACTTACCCCTCTTTGGTTTTGGAAAGGAATCGTGTAAATTGAAGACGACCTTGTCAACGTAGTTGCTGATATCTACATCCTTAACACCACGCACATACAATTCCCAATCATGTGTAAATCCTTCAGGCGTTTTTTTACCCCGCAACCTCGCCGTATGACCGATCTCGAATTGTACTTTCACAGCCATCTGAGCGAATAGAATAGTGGTTGAATACAGAAATTATTAATGATCACTTAGACAGCTGCGGCGGGGCGCCCAATTGATTGGTGGCTGTCCTACTGACCAGCAAACAAGGAGTTTTGTATGCGGAAAGCACTCCCTTATTCACACTTTTATATTTTACCAAATAATCCACTTGTCTCTCCGTCTACGATCTTAATTTAAAGATACAATATATTGAGCATAAAATTTCAAATGGTGGATAAATTCTGAAAAGAAAAAACATAAATACCTGCCATTAGTTAAGTACTAGCAGTTTCTAATGAATAACGATAAATGCATATACATACATACATATGTATATGCATACTTCCATTGAATATATAAATGAATGCTTGTACAAATGAATGTGAGTACAATAAGTACAATAAAATGGAGTTGGCAGATATCAGCTAAATAATTATTTATGTATTTATGTATGTATCCACATATATACACAAATATATACATATGTATGTGTACACCAAAAATGCTAAAAATTAAATGCATTACAAGTGAATACAGATGCAATTCTAATAAATAGGTTCACAGCTTCATATTTTGTTATAAATGTACGCGATATTTAACTTAGAAGCGCAGTAAAATGAGCCACATAACATTATTATTTATTCAAATAAGTAAATAATGATATGATAATAACGTTAAGGAAAATTGCGCCGACGCATATGGCGTGCATTAATAAAAAAAAAACATATAATAGTGGTGCATTTCTCAATCCTAGCGGCATGTTTTATATCACGTAGTTATTCAGTGTACACAATATGTAGCCAAAGTTGGAATACCACACCAGCTACAAATTGCTCGACTTACATCAAAAAGTGCACCCATAATTAAAATTGTTAAGCTGGACTTGGTTTTAAATAATGGTCATTTGTTAAAGCGATCTATCGCATGAACATTTCATTCATAATTTCCTAATATAATTAAAATTAACAAAAACAATATCGGCGGCACCTACATATATTTATTTAGATTTATTACATTACTTTACAGCGTTGACATTATGTCTCGATGGAATAGCACAGCATGTTTATGTTTTTCTCCTAAACCTAATAACCATCACTGTTGGAAGCCATCGGCACATCTTTGAGTAAGGTGCATGTACTTTCTGATTTCTTTTTATCTTTTCGTTGCTAAGCATCGCGGCTGGCGATCATTATTACCATTAGCACATTTTCGGAAAATCTTACTTTGCCATGCTCACCTTTTAATCGACTACTGCTGCTCTGTCAACGTCGCTGCTGAGGCTGCTGCCCCCACTCACTTTTTCACTTCGATTTTTTCACGTCCTCTTACTACTTTTATTCACTTTGCACAGATTTGCGTCCTTTTCCGCTTTAAGGATGTAATAAATATTTCAATATAATTGTTTAATACTTCATGAACTTGTATTAATAACCATAATCACTCCATTTATACCTCTTTTTTAAATAAAACACATATTTTTAACAATTCAGTAACGACCTCTTCCGCGCTGCTTTCGATTACTGAACTTCTTCACATTTCTCTATTTTCTCACATTTTCTTTCCTCTCATTTGTTTGCGTTCTTCTTTTAGCTGCAGTTCCCATTAGATGGTTTTGAACTTTGTTAAAATGCATTACGACTTGCCACTTTTCATTCACAGGGTTGCATTTTAGGTAAATTCTAAAACTACCTTAATTTAACGGCCCAATTCAATAAAAGTTTACCAAAAAAAAATAAGTGAATAAAAATGATTGGTGAACAACTGTTACTCCACGTCACTACCAGCTGTCAGAAACTGCATTCTAATTATCGTTTCGGAAAAGAATTGTCATCAATTTTTGATTGGCTGCTTTCTTTAAATTAATGATTTTATCCCTATTTTATCCCAAAGTATCAATGATGTTACAAACTATCGTGCCTATGAAGTTTTTGCAGTCAAAGGGAAAATCTGACATTAAATTAGGTACTCAGTATAAAGTTGACACTAAACGATTTTTCAACATTTGAAAATACTCCATACGTATTTTCACAAAAGAAAATTAAAGTGAAAATAAAATACAAAGCATTGAATTTTTGTAAATACATTTAATGCTTATTTTATGGTTAACGATTCAGTAATTTACAATTTTTATAATACATTTTTATAAGTTCCACAAGTTGAAAACTTATTCTTATTAGCATTCTGGTAACTTTGGAGGTGCTGCCAAGTTAATTGTGTACGAACTGTTCAACTAAAACAGCTGATTCACCGCTATAAATTAAGAAGTTTTTAATTACAAAAATGTTTTCTATCGCAATAATAAATCCTTTGTAGTAAAAGAAACATGTATTACTTGTTAGTACTAGGAAAATTATTTCAATTTAAATAAAATAATTGACAGTATGAATATAAAAATTTATCAAAGAAATTATAATGTAATAGAGCTTCTTGTACGTGGCGCCGGTGCATTATTAGTGATTTATTGGATTATGCCATGGCGATTTGCTTCCCACTACGAATACATACAGCGGAAAGATATAAGACACGAACTTATCGACCAGGTCACCAGTAACATTTCCATGCAACGTCTGCCACCATGTGAATATAATGATATTTTAGCAAATAATGTAAATACATATCGTACACAATTTCGTGAGCATGTTTTGCGTGGAGAGGAGATACTACCGGGTGGCGAATATTTTCCCGAGGACTGTAGCGCACGCTTTAGCACTGCAATCATTGTGCCTTACCGAAAACGGGAGGAGCAGTTACATGCTTTTCTTATCTATATGCACAATTATCTGCGACAACAACGCATACATTATCGAATTTTCTTAGTTGAGCAATACGACCATAAACCGTTTAATCGAGCGAAACTTTTTAACATTGGGTCAAATATTGCTGCAGAATTTGAGTTTCCCTGCTTAATTTTGCACGATGTCGATTTGCTTCCAATGAATCTTGGTCAAATCTACGCTTGCACACAGAAACCTCGTCATATGTGCTCCGCCTTGGACATTTTTCGATTCACATTGCCATATAGAGGGCTATTCGGAGGTGTCGTAGCGATACGCACCCAACAATACCGGTTTATTAACGGTATGTCGAATCTATTCGAAGGTTGGGGAGGAGAGGATGACGATTTCTTCAATAGATTGAATTGGCACAAAATAGATATTTGCCGCTTTGAACCAAGTTACAGTACATATACGATGATGAAACATAAACCAGAAAAAAGGAATAAAGACCGTATTGCACTTTTGAAAAGCGGATATAAACGATTTTTATCCGATGGACTTAATTCATTGATATACAAGGAAAAAGAACGCCGCATTCATAGCCTATTCACACATATCCTTGTAGAAACGTGAATTGAGATATTGTCCAGCGAAGGGATAATTGATAATTTTAATTTTGTATATTCATCCGTTTATTCAAGTATGAAGTTGAAAAATGGAGTAAGGCTTGTGCTGGTATTTGACGAAACTATGTCTTGAAGATATTCATACGCATATTTTTTTGTCTTATATTGTAATTGCATATAGAGAGTGCGATTTTCTAGTCTAGAAATTAACACGTGCCCGTACAATTAGCATAAACGCCCTCGCACAGGAACTTGCACAACTTGCGGCTAAAAATTAATAAATATTATAAATAGACTTATATCCTATAGCAAATATGTCCAGTGCTTTAAATTGTTTTAAATTTAGAGCACAAAATAATGCCGATTTAAGTAGATATAATACTTGACTAGTGACGATAATAAATTAATGCTAAAAATAACGATACGTTAAAACAGACTTTCAATTCAACGTAAACTGAATGTGATGAACCTTAACACTATTTGCTTTTCTGCTAATCTTCAGGATGAACCGTTTAAAACACAACCGCACATATGTAGGTCCTAATTTCATGATAAATCAGCAAAATAATGGATTAGATAAGAGACTTTAAGGTTAGTGACTGCGATCAATAAATATAGAAGCTTTGAAGGTAAATATTAACTCTGGTCCTTAGTAAAGCTCAATAGCCAGCCAGTATAACCTAAATATGACCTAATTGTCATTTACTTTTTGTAAAAGGGTCAGTTATAAATTTTTATCACAGTGCGTATAAAAAATGCGACCGAGAAAAAATCATACTGTACCATTTAAACAAAAAAAAAAAAAGTACCCTAATTAGAAACGTGAAAAAGAAAAACAAATAACCTAAAATTCTTTACAAAATAGATAAGAAAACAAATTGGGTATACCAGCGATTTGCAGTAATTTATTTTAGATCACTCAAAATAAAGCGCAATTTGAGTGACTTTGATAAATGGCCCGGTTTTTCTGGGTCTGTGATTCTAAGCTAGGTTTAGTTTTCATGTTATTTTGTTTTAGATGTATATGTATGTATGTAATGTGGACATATTTGTTTGCTGAAATTCTATTCCCAAATAGTATTACGTATCCAATCAATGTAATTATACACGCGTGTATAAATACCAGGTTGATCAGGTGTGCCACAGCCAATACCAAATGATGTAATTCCAACTACAGTGTACATACATGGATAGTCAGGATGATAGGCTAATAATGGACCTCCTGAGTCACCACTGCAGGTGTCTTTGTTTTCATTTGATCCTGCACATATTTGTAAACGATTCTCTACTCCCCTTGGTAGTTGATCTACATCTGCCGATTCCGTAAGACGTTGACAACGATCAATGCCGAATCGATTGAGTGTAACTTTGAGAAGTTTTTTAGAATCAGCATCAGCAAAACGTGTACTCCCCCAACCGATAGCGACTAATTTCTGAAATTCATCACCGGAAGTGGTTGGCAAACAAGCCGGATGTTTGTATGCATCGAAGGATACAGACCGCTGCAGTTCAACGAGACCTATGTCATTGTAAATGGTTGCACTGCTGTAGTCTTTATGTTGGATATTACGTTGAACAGTGAAGTCCTCGGGACGCGCGTCATCTGATTCTCTATCGAAATCTAGTTCGCCCAAGCGTACTATATTAACTTCACCACTGTGTAAAACAAAGAGATGATAATATAGTTTTTAAAAACTCATATAATAAAAGCAATGGCTTATAAAATGAACTTTGGCCGGTTTGTAAAACACCTGAACTTTTTTACAAGTTTATTTGTATATACATACCTATATACTTCTAAATTGTATTGAACAATTTACTTTTTGCCCTTTTTAAAAGGTTTTTAACTAAAAAAAAAATATAAACATCGAAACATCCATGGTTCGGTTTCAATCGTACTTAGCTCCTTACCTTAATTTTTGTTTTGAATTCCATCATAAACCTAACGATAACCTTGTAACACCCAAGTTTTAGGATATTCCCCTTAGTCTCTTATATCCATACATGCATATGTATAAACAAACCTATATATACCACCTATTATATGCGCCTACAACAAACATACATACAACTTCGTTGATGTTCTCTTACCGATTTGATGTGAAGCAATGCGCTGCTGTGAGAACAAATTTCTCACTAATGAGAGTACCTCCGCAAAACCATTCTGTTGATCCATCTTTCTTTTTGTTACCCAAACGTGCAATATGCGGAAACTCTTTCGGACTAGCTGGAGATCCTCCAACTATCAGCGGAGCGTATGGCTTACAATTGTCTATTGTAATTTTTATTTCTTCAGCTCCATGTACCAATGGGCTAAATGTTTTCACCTCCTCGAATATTTGCTGCTTAATTTGAGCACATTCTTTACAAATAAAATATGTTAATTACGCGTTTTCTACGAAACAATAAACGAATAACTCACTTTCTATTTCAACTGATAGGCTGTTTTGGGCTTTAACTAAGCTCCAATTAACTTTTAATATGAATAAAATAGTAACTATTGCCACCAAAGTGATCCTGAGCTGTTGCATATTTTATGTAGATTCCTTTGCAACGTCTGTTGTTAGTGTAAAACCAAACCGGTGATTAGATGTCAGAGCTGCGTTTAAACAACACATCTTTGCGTATACCTATGTAAGTGTGTATGCAAGTGTATATTCAAATTGATGAGATGATACAAATGAGAAACTTATTAGTGTTCGGTTTCATCAATTTTGAATTCGTAGTATACGAGTATCGAAGCGAAAATCCTAGACCCAATTAAATTGAAATTTTGAATTTGATTATAATATTTCTTCTACATACATAATTTTAAAGCAAATATCTATGTATTTTACATACATACATATATATTAATTAATAGCAAGATCAGTGTTCCCCAAATTAATTTTTTTTTAAATATTGCGGCCGTGACTGTCTTTGGCGGATAAAAATCCGGCTCGTTCCTGTATAAAACCCCGACTAGGGGGTCAATAGTTCAAACGATTGACGTCTCTTTATGCCGAAATGACTATGATTTATATCAGGATATAGGCTGAACTCTCGCAATATTCATAAAAACCAATTTGTGGAATATTTTCAGACAAAACTTAGAGGTTTCGGTTACCAAACACCTTTTCGTAAACTAATTTTGGACTATATAAAAAAACTTCTTCTATGAAAAACAACAAAATGCCCCGGTGGAGAAACCCTGCCTTTGATGACGACCCCTGTCAACGTGTTAGGTTTAGACAATTGTGAGTATGCATCTGGAATGTCCGGTCACGTAACTGGGAAGACGCAGATGCCCAGTTGATCAATGCATTTCTAAATTAAAACTAACCGGATGTGTATTGAGAGAGAGACTCAGTCGTCGAGTACTGGCATTCACCTCTGTAGATGGTGGTTTCGAAACAAGCCACATCAAAGCATAGTTATTTTAAACATAAAGCTGTTTCGTGCCTCGTTCTTATTGAAGAGCTCTGCTCTCGTTGCAATGTCAAAATTGTGCTTGCCGATTTCAAAGATTTTGAGAGCAAAGAAGGTATCTTCGGCATGACAGTTAGAAAATTCAGTATCCATTGCGAGATATTTCCAAACGGGTTGAGGCTACTGTACTTCATCGGGGCTCGAAATATAATTGTCTGTAGCACAAGAAAATTTATTAAGCTACATGGCTCCTGTGTTCTGTACTTAATATCGGCGCAGATTTATCCAATTAAAAGTAAGGCGACTTACAGAAGTTGTAGGGAACTGTAGTGAGAAAGAGCTAGACGAAATATCTCCCGTCAGCAAAGAAACAGACTATTGTGTCATATTTCGAAGTCGTAGCTATTTTCCCATATCTAGGGACCAGATCCATGGTGCGTCACGCATTGGCAACGGCGAATACCACGGATAATGGAAGGATTTGGTGTACCAGACATACTGTGACATTGACATATATACATATGGAAAGTTAAGTGAATAAGGCGACAGAGGCTACGAAGACGCCTAGATCTTTTCGTCCGAGTGGATGAAAGAACTTCAGTTTTGAATGTATTTGATATAATACCCGCTTGTAATAAGAAGAATACGAAGGTATCCACTTCCTTTGAAACGATCTGATGGATAGCTACTTAGTTTATAAAACCATTTTTTGTATCAAAAGAAATTTTAAATTTTTATTTCATTTTATACGGATATCGAAATAAAAATATTTTACTTACTTTAGATTAAATAAAAAACATGAGAATATGAGGGTTGTTACGTTCGAATAACGTCCAGCGTAGATATCCGCCTAAACGGATTAGAAATATAAATGCATTGCTGCAAGCTGAAAATTCCTAATTGGCAACACTGATTTTAACTTTAAATAACGCATGTGTCTAAAAAAACCAAAAACAAAAAACGTCGCTGACTGCGACGCGCACCTACAAAGAGGAAATTAACGAGGCGATGATAGAATAAGGGGAACCAAAGCAGCGCATTGCCTCGCGTAGTACGCGGTTGTTTGTTTGTTTACATTTTTGTACATTAGATGCAAATATTATTAACAAAAAATAGTAAATAAGTTAAAAAAGATATTCCCTCGGGCTACAATAGATTGAATTCAATGTGCTTAATATGGTAAATGTGAATTGAGCCAATTGATTTTTACATAATTACCAAAATGACGGCGGCTTTATGCTGTGTTGTGCACATTTTAATTATTTTGTTTTGTGCGTGATTATTTCGTGGTGTATCTGCATACTCTGTGCTTATAAAAAAACTATACTTATATTGGTGCTTAGCAAGTTCTTTTGGACGTGACGCATTGGCTACTTTGCAGAATTGTTTAGTTAAACCAAAGCAGCAAAATGGATAATATTAAGAGGGAATTAGTATTGGATTACCATGAAGGATTGCAAAATCCAATGATAGACGTCATTTTGGATAAAAATTCTTCGGAAGAAATCCTAGTAAATAAAAATGGAAGTAATAAAGGATCATACATAACACGAGCTAAAATGAATCCAGCCAAAAGTGATAATGAAAAACGACGACGAAAAGATGCAATGAGAAAGGTAATTACATATGTGATGCTTAAATTACATGAGAGGTTTTGATCGCCTTACGTGACTTAAATAGAGGGTGGGACGGTTTAAGCAGGTGGTGTGAGTTTAATGACACCAACAAATTATAACAAAAACAACCCTGCTATTTGAACACGTCCAATAATCTGTACAGTTGTTTGGAGATTTTACAATTCTTTTCATTTTTGAATAAATAATTTTTCGGTCTTCTTTTTTTTTATTTAGATATCATCAATATTTAAAAAATGCGAGTCATTACTGACTGCTGAAGAGCGTCAGTTGTGTGAAAAATATCCAGACATTGTAAAACAAATAAAAAAACGAAAGGAACGTGTCGAGATCTACAAAGATAGAATTGTAGAAAAAGAGGATGAACCACATGTTATAGAAGCAAAAGTAGAAGAGTTGGCAGCAATAATATCACAGTCCAAGCACCTAATTTGTTACACCGGAGCCGGTATTAGTACATCCGCGTTAATACCTGATTATCGTGGGAGCAAAGGTATTTGGACATTACTTCAAAAAGGTGAAGACATTGGTGAGCATGATTTATCAGCTGCTAATCCTACTTACACTCATATGGCACTATATGAATTACATCGCCGACGTCTATTGCGTTACGTTGTTTCACAAAACTGCGATGGGTTGCATTTGCGTTCGGGTTTACCGCGAGCATCACTCTCTGAAATACATGGTAACATGTATATGGAGGTGTGCAAGCATTGTAAACCAGGTCCGACCGTGTATTGGCGACTCTTTGACACCACCGAGATGACAGCACGATATTGTCATAAGACCAACCGACTTTGCCATTGCTGTTCGGAGCCGCTCTATGACACAATTGTTCATTTTGGAGAACGAGGAAATCTTAAATGGCCATTGAACTGGGCGGGCGCCTGCCATCATTCTGAGAAAGCTGATGTAATTCTGTGTTTGGGATCAAGCTTGAAAGTACTCAAGAAATACACTTGGTTGTGGCAAATGGATCGACCCGCGAAACATCGTCCAAAAATCTGTATTGTTAACTTACAATGGACACCTAAAGACAGTATTGCAACTGTAAAAATAAATGGCAGATGCGATCGGGTCATGGAAATGTTAATGCGCGCACTAAATATATCCGTGCCGGTTTACACAAAAGAAAAGGATCCTATATTTGCGCATGCATCACTGCTTATGCCCGAGGAGTTACACACGCTCACACAGCCACTGCTTAAGCCAGATTCTGAAGATGCTGATAAAGATACCGAAACAGCTGAGGACACATGCACTAGTGCAACGGAAGAGACATTGGATTCGTTTATGTCGGGAGATAGCGGAGCAGACATACCTATTGGTAAAGGGCCGCGTATACGGACGCCTCTTAAGAACAGTACTCGCATAAAAACAAATCTCAAATTAAAATACAAAATTCCACGAAAGGAAGTCGGCTGTAGCGTAGTGACTTGTGAGGAAGGTGACAGAAGTGAGGGAAATAATAAAACTTCTGAGAGCATGGCTAAGGCAAAAGTTGACGATTTGAACCACAGTAGTTTCAAAGAAAAAAATAATTGCCTGCTAGAAAAAGACATAAAGCCAAATGAGCCAATGGATACAGGTGAAAATCCACTGCAAGTTGAAAAGCCAAATGAAAGCGGTATTAAAAAAGAAGGAGCTGACGATACGATAGATACCTCTATAAAACAGGAATGTAATAACGAAATTATGAATCTGTTATCTGATGGAGAGAAAAAATTTTCTCCAACTGCAGACGTTGAAATGAAACTTGAGCATGAAGTAAAAGAGGAAACTTTGTCAGAATTAATATCAACTAATTCGCCCAATAACGCACCTTTTATGCCGTCTACTGTGAAAAAAGAGAATTGCACAGACCAAGCTAGCCACTGCACAGCTGCCTTAAGTTTTAATTCTCTTAAAACAGAAGAGCATGAAGTGAAAATAGAAAACAAAGTTGATATTAAATCCGAAATTCCGATAGAAATGCCCGCATTGGTGCCAATACGACAAGTGAATAAGACACCATCTGCTGAAGTAAAACAAGAACCAATCGTTCATCAAAATCACACTTCGACTTCCGATGTACTCGTCACGAATAGTATAATTAATTCCGATGATGATGACTCAAATTGTGAGAATGTTGTCGCGCAAATGGACATATTGAAATTGGTAAAGAAAGACACCGAAAACGGCGTTGGAACCAATAGCAGAACTCAACGATATTGGCTACTAAGAAAACTACCATGTTGGTACGACGTTAAGTATGCCTATTCGGGGCTTCATAGTATTGTTTATCCGCCTCCAGCTGATTTGAATATTTGGAATTACCAAGTGATACCAATATTCGCAATGAATCGGGAGGCAGCTGAATGTGAGTTCTGTTTTGATAACTATGCAGAATTTGAATGTCAATTCTATAGAAAGTGGCATCTTAACGAACGGAAACACAAGAAGCGAGCGCGTAATGGCCGATTTGTAGTTTGCGAATGTTGTTCATATTCTGACGACGATGACGATGATTACGATGAGAATATTTCATTGGCTCATATAGCAGCGGCTGAAGTGGCAAAACGTCGGTTGCAGTTAAGTAACACTTTTCCGCGCAAATTGGCGCGCACACAAGCAGGATGGTATGGTAAAGGGTATCGTAAAGCACGTCGACGTAAATAAAAGTGGCAACATCAAAAGTATTACTTTTCTATATCTAGTTAGAAATTAAGATGTTTACCTAAGTTTGAAGGCTTTTTTTTTGCATTTCTGATGTTTTGTACGCCATTATGCGCCTCTCTTTATGTTACGTCTTCCGTAACTCTTTGTCGACTCAAATTTGATGTAAGATCTTAAATTACGCAAACTGATAAATATAATAAATTTTCTACCGTACGAAATTCATACGAATTACTATTTGATTACAGATGTTCGTAAATAAATATAATACTTATCTATCTATGTATGTATCTTTAAAATTTTGTTACGTACAATTAAAATTGACAAGGCGTCTTTAGACAGCAAGCTAGATTTTAAGATGGAAATAATAAATGTAATAATTAGATGTTAAGCGAATGTACTTTAATAATGCTCATAAGTAAAGAAATCTTCTTAAGACTATACGTAATTTTTCTACATTCCTATGCGAATATCGTAAATTTTCAGTTACGAGTCCAGCGACGAGACGGCGTTGAAATGTGCCAAAAAACTACTTTTACATAAAAGGATTAACATGGGAATTCTCTTGATAATCGGTAACATGATTAAAACACGTTAGCTCCTCTTGGCGATTCATTTGCGGGAATTTTGATTTAATTGTGCTACAAATCAAGTAATAGTGTTTTAGGTAGTTCTATTCGAAATATTTTTTTTTTTTATTTTTTAGTGCAGTCACAATGAATAATTCTCGTCCCATATCATAATTTTATCCGAATTCCTCTAAAATCCCATTTTAACTAAACGCATATTTTTGCAATGTTTTCATATTTCATATTTTTTATTTGCATAAGCTTTTCTAAGTAATGCTGGTAAACATTTCATTAAAATTATAGTTTCTTTATAGTAACCTTACATTATACTGATATTTATATATATTAAATTTTAAGTTTTTGAAAGTATTTTATGATCATAATTATCTTTATTTTCACTTTACTCCTCGAATTAATTTATATATGTGGAACAAAATGTGTATACTTATGCGATTTAGTAAAATTCTTTCGGAAAAAAGAAAATAATTGTAATGTATAAAAATTGTGTGTAGCTTATGAGTATCCAAATATGTTTAACAATCAATTCACATTACGATTAAGGATAAAAAAAGATAAATTTTAGTTATCTGGTTAAAAGCTTTTAATGCGAATTCTAACAATAATAATAATATGTGGACATGATAGCTCTTGATTTAAAAAAAAATATTCAATATAAAAATTTTGAACAAATTTTAAAATAACAAAGTCAAACTTTGAAATTAAGACTAAAAAGAAAGATAACGAACATTAAATTAAAAAAATGACTGAAGTCCATGCTAATGAATTTAAAATTGTTCTAATCTATCGATATTAATTATAGACATAATTTAATAATCAGCGCATACAAACTTTTTAAAATTGCAAATTTTCCTATATACTAAATATCGTAAGCCTATCAATCTTAAATTATTATAAAGTTATAGTATATATTATTTAGGTATGTGTTCATGAATTGCTTATTAAACTTACGGTTCTTAAATTAGAAACTAAACATTAAGCTACTGAAGTTTAGTGAGAAGTGAGAAGAGAATTGCAGCAACTTATCACATACACTCTTCTCTTTTATATGCTGCCCAGACTGATTAACAACGATATAAGTAAGTATGAGCTTTTAAGCCACATAAATGAATGTGTTGATATCGTCATCATCGCGTCGCATATACTTGTGTTCGATCAACCATTCCAATTGTTCTTTAATCATTTTTTTCGATGGCAAGAACATATTCTTAAGTATATCAATCAATTCGGCTTGTAATGTTGCATTATTTAAGCGTTTACGCATTTTCATAATTTTTATAATGGCTTCTTGGGTACGCAATATGCGCAACTGTACAATAGATTGATTGTCCTCTTGCTGGGATCGCTCCGTATTCAATTGCAAGCGGCCAATCATGTTCATCTACAAAAAAAAGTTAGCTAAATAAAGTAAAAAAGCAAATACATATGTGTGTAAAATGCACGTACTTTTCCTCTTCGCTGCGGTTTCCCATTTTTTACAACAGCAAATTCTTGATTGACACTAAATAAAGTATTTTCTGAGAAGTCTTTTGGTGTGGTTATCGTTGCAGGTTCCATAAGTAAAATTTGCTTTTTCAGCTTAGGAAATGCCACAAGCGACCAAAGTGTACGCCTGAGTTCGGGATCTATTGCAGAGAAAGTAATTAGAAAAAAAATAAAAATAAAAAAAAGAATAAAGTTTGAAACGGGTTAAAAGTAAAGCTAAGTGTATACCTGGCAACTCAGTTGCTAAGCGCAGATTTTCATACGAGATTTTATCATGTGGCCGCTGATTCCATGCAAATAGTACAGCCATTTGGAATGTGGTCACATCTAAGTCGTAACGACCGAAATTATTCACAAATGTTATGGTACCATTACTCATGTGATGATACCATTGCAATTTTCGGCCGCAGAAATTTTTTTTATAAAACTCCTCCACATCGGGAATGTAATCTTCTAACTCGAGTGGCAAACTAACTGAGACACGTTCGGAGCAACGTGCCCAAGCGCCGGTATTGAGAATCTTTATATTAATAGCGTCATGGCGACCGGTGCAGCTGCGGAATTGAGTATTTAAATCTTCGCTGAGCTGTAAAATAAAAAAAAAATATTGTTTATTGTGTTTTGCAAGTCCTCTAATGATTATTATTTACCTTAATATCTTGGAACATGCGACCTAAGCGATTCACATAATCGGCTGGCATACCAGCCTCGCGTAACCATTCAACAATATCTTCTTCCTTCTCACTATCAGCGCTTGTACTAAGTATTAATCTAAAATTTGGTTATACAATTCGTATTAATTGATATTTGAAATATAATATATCAAGTATTCGTAGATTCGATATTACCTTCTAGTCAAATGGACTTTGTGATAGCGCATAAAAACATCTTTATTATTAACATATTTTAGCACGAGTAAAACATCGCGCAATCTTGCATCTATTTGCTCACTAGTTAGCTTCTTACTTAAGGGCGTTCGACGCAGTAACATGTCACAATAATTAGCTAAAAGTTCGGGACATTTGCTCTCTGGAGCTACAGACTTTACGCCGCGATTTGTCAGACCAGTTGGCAGTTCGAGCTGTTATCGAGAAATCGGTATTATGAGACTATACATGCATATATATATATATATTTTTTTTTATATTATACCTTGAAAACGCTAGTGTCATTGACAACTGTTTTGAAGGCTTTGTCACGAGCTGTAAGAAATCGAGGATCATCGTTGAAGGCGTATTTTACAAGTGAACTGAATTTATTGAAAAGTTCTAGTAGTCGCTCCACATACTTTTCTGAGTCCTGTGTAATTATATCGGAGGCCGAGAGCATATCCGCTAGACCTGCAGTGACAATGTGGCTCTCCAAATCACGTAGCATCGGCTCAACTCCATCCTGCACTCGATCCAAAAGTCGGAACATTAGATTTAGTTTTTCTGTTTCATACTCCTTTATTAGCGCCGCACATTCTGCGATGATCGTATTCATATGATCCCCGACTAATACTTTGACACAAGTTTGAGCTAGTACAGCGTAGCTGCTTGGTTCAAGATATCGTTTTGCACGCGCCTCTTCCTCACGTAATTTAGCATCTGCATATCTCATAAATGCCAATACACCGTTTGCTTGTTGTTGTTCGGTTGTTTTTAGCCGATAAAACGCGGATGTCGCTTTTAAATAAGCCGCTTCAAAGTTTTCCCGGTAGATTTGCAATTTATCTTCTGGATTAGAACACAGATTTACATAACTTTCACGTACGCCAATTACAAGTTGGGCATCATAAGCATCTCCACTACGTTCGGCGTGAACAATTTTCATTGCAGATTCTTGTAAACGATCTTTTATATCGCGAAATATATTTTCGTTCCATGAATCGAGCATTAGTTTTCGCACAATGGACTCATCAGTGTTGGTTTTTTTACTACTATTACCACCACTACTGCTGCCACCCGGGGGGGATGATGTCGGTCCGGCGGCAGCAGCAGCAGATGTGGAAGGACCGGCGGCGGTTGAAGTTGAAGCAGCATTAGCACTTGTACTTGCCGCAGAGGAACTGGATGCTGACGTTGAAGAGGATGTTGGCACCTTGAACTGCAGAGACTGCTCCAGCTGACGAAAAGGCAACGGCAGATAATTGGATTGAGTAAAGAATTTACGCCATTCAACTATGTATGTAGTTAACAGTGCTTGCTCGCCGCGTTGTGATTGAACCTTTCGCTGGGCATGTACGATAAAGTCAACAATATCTGCGCGCAAACAATCGTAAATTTTTGCTGCACCTTTTTCGTCCCACAAACAGACTAAGTGAACTCCATAAAACAGTTCTTGCCATTCTAATTGGGAAACAGTTTCCTGGTTTAACAGCTTCAGCACAATAAGGCGTTTTTCCGGCCATACTTCTTCAAAGGACCGCAATCCCCTTGTCTGTCCTGTACCAACCTATTAAGATTAAAAAAACGATAAAATTTATATAAAGTATGTGTAATTTGATTAGATTGCCCGAGGTTTCTCACTTTCAACATTTTATTGCTTTTGTAATGCGTTTTATTTCAAGCCAACATTTATTAAATACGCTTTTGTGCTAATAAGTTTTTACAAATTCTGGTAAATGAGAGGTGTAAAGAGAATGCAGAATAAACGAAAACCAACTGAGAGAGCAATGAAATATTCGCGATATTTTGTGACATCTCTTGGGGAATAGTGCTATTAGATATCAGCTGACTTTCTAACAGCAGGTTAGATATCGCTGGAAAAAACGTATTTAAGATATTGTGTAAACATTATTCCAAGAGTTATTAAATAAGTAATTAACTAATATGCTTTCTGAGTACATTTCTCGAATAGAACACTGAGCAGGCATAGCATTGATTTATTGAAATAAACCATTTTCACATACGAAATACTACTATTCTTGCTATTACAATGTGATAAATACGACGAATATATGAGTGTGACATTCTTGTGAATTTAATTTATTTAATCTATTTAAAACCCACTGAACACACCCTAATTTCTTTTTTTTTGTTGGTGATGTAAATGTCAAAATTTTTATGCATTTTCTATGTGTTCTTCTAACTTTATTGGTATTTTTATGACTGCTTTTATTTTTGTGTGAATTTCGTTCTTCGGTGTAAAAATTATATTTTCCGTGTACTAATTAAGTGTGGCAAAAGTTATAATCAATTGAAAACTTAATAAAGTTAGGTAAAAACCAGCGAGGTGCAAAAAATCGCTAAGAAATGACCATGGGTGGTGAAACACCAACGTCTTCTCTGATTTTTCCAGTATTGCTGAGGCCGATCTTTGCAAAGGTTTGTGTGTTTGCTGGAGTAAAAATGCAAAGTAGAGTATGCCATATAAACTCTTAGAGAAATTGCTTATGTACATATGTATGTACATAAATAATTAATAAAATATGAAATGTAAAATATTTTAATTTTATAATTTTAATTTCAAACACTACTGTTTGCAGCTGGAACGGCGGGATGTAGGTGCAGCACAGTCACTGCGCTCTGCCATAATGAAATGTGAGCAAAATAATCCAGGATTATGTTATGACCTTGTAACGGCTATTATACGCCGTGCTGAGTTAAATGTAAATCTGAATGAAGCAGTTCTTCGTCTACAAGGCAATATTGCAGAGGCAGATCGTAAGTCGAATTGTATATGCATTTCTGCTCAAAAAATTATTATTTGGAATTGCATTTGTATTGCAGTAAACGAATATCGACTTACAAGAACTGAAGAACCATTCCAGGAGCTAAATCGAAAGTCTGTTGCACTTAAAGTCATTCTCAGCCGTATACCTGATGAAATTACAGATCGGAAAGCTTTCTTGGAGACCATAAAGTTTGTTTAATAAAAAGTATAGTTGTAAATATAATAATATATGTATTTTTTTTTTTAATAGAGAAATAGCCAGCGCCATAAAAAAACTCTTAGATGTGGTTAACGAAATAGGATCTTTCATACCCGGAGTCACAGGCAAGCAAGCAGTCGAGCAACGTAAAAAGGAATTTGTTAAATACTCCAAAAAGTTTAGCACAACGCTTAAAGAATATTTTAAAGAGGGACAGTAAGTATATATATATATATAAATGTGTATATAAAACAGAATGCACTTATATTGTAGATAAAATAATATTGTTGATTCTATAGTTTTATTTAATATACATACATATGTATACATACGTTTCAATAACATTTTTAAAATAGCAAAGGTAAAACTTTAATATAACAATAAAATTTTTTCAAAGGGTTTGCGCAGTAGGCTTTATCATACAAATAGCTAGGTGAGCGATTAATTGGTGATATCATAAAATTGTATATGTAGGTTTCTACAAATGCTTATGTATGTATATCTATATATCTATGTATGTACTTAATGGATTTTAGATAGAGCATAGTGATTCAGCGTTTTCGGGCAGGGCCGAATTCTATTGATATGAAACATCTAGACCCGTATAAGATTTGTAAGTGTATATAATTGTCTGTGATGTCTTTTCTCTTTTCAGATCGAATGCAGTATTCATAAGTGCACTTTATCTGATACGACAAACGAATCAAATAATGCTGACTGTAAAAAGCAAATGCGAGTAAGAAACGAATACAATATAGTGGCATTTTAGGTTTTTTTTTTAACCAAAACACATTCAAAGTTACTTATTCAAGTAATTAATTAAGACAAAATAGAACACGATAAATCTAAATGCAATAATTCAAATAAATATGTATATTTACAAAAAAACCAAGAGTCCTTAGGCGCATACACTATAGCCATATCAGCAGGCTATTTAACTTATACTATTATGATTGGAGGTAAACATTTTCGAAAAGAAAAAAAGATTACAATTACAATGATTTTTGTAGTAAACGAAAATTTCAAGAATGAGAGTTTATTTCGTTACAAACGTTAATGAGCATAAATTATACATACGTATGTAAGTATATAAAAAGCTTAATTACAGTGTAATTTTAAATAATATATAAATGTGCACTGTTCGTCTAACACAATTTAATTTAAAAAAAAATTAATTCGTTATGTATTTCGCAATGTGTTTAAGCGTTTAAAACCGTATCTGTGCGCCAAGCATCCGTTATTGTAAATAAAATTAGTTTCAAATATGTTATACCAATTTTAATAAATACAATTACAAAATTAATGAAAGTTGTCCTAACAAAAATTTAAAATGAAATAAAATGTGGAAAAGGAAAGAAACCGTAGAACTCTTTTTATTTGTTTATTTATTTTTTTTTTACGAATAATCCTCGTACATTTAAATGTATTGCAAGATGTTGTGAAAAATGCGAAACACGATGGACAGATGAAAAAATATCCCGATACTAAAGCATCTTCTACAGCGGAGGATGGAATGTTTCTGGATATCGTTAGTACATGTAAGAAATTTCCAGACCTGAGTATGATCAATTGGTGAGGAGCAGCCAACATAGTTGGTTACAAAGTGAACTCGTTGGTGAGAGCAGCGCAGCAAAGTGAAAATAGTAGGGTGTTAGAATTGTTAACAATATTATGCACTATAATATTTTCTGGGTAAGAAAGAGAAAAGAATTAGTACTGCCTCAATGTAAGCAGGCCCAACAATTATAACGAAATACCTTTCTTACTGAGTTGCAAATGCTTGTATGAGTTTCGCTTGTTTTTTGTCGTTGTAGCGGTTCGCCAGGAATAGGACTGCTTAAACAGGCTCGGAACAGAGGCAAAGCGGGGTTAGATTAGTTAGTTTTCGGGAGAATGCAAAGGGGAGTTTAGTGTCGTACGGGGCCCCATTGCATACACGACATACGTTGGGTATGTCGGGGTGAATTCTTGATAGATAGGAATTAGATCCACTGCAATATCCAGTTCTCAATTGCACCGGTACTACTCGTGTCTCTCGTGACAGCTCAAGCTTGATTTCAAAAAGTTACGTTTGGATTCCAAAAACGCCACGTCCAGGGATTCTTGTCTATAGTGCTGAAAGGAGTAGTGATGCGTTGTGGCTGTTACGCCCTAGGGCGGTGTAAATTATTTATATGTATATAGCTACAAATCGGAGGAGCGTAATTTACGACCATCCGGCTAATTACCTTTTTTGTTGTTTTTACCTTAAGTGCTGCCGGCTAACGATTTGAAAATTTTGTTACGACTCTGTAAGAGTGCAAGCTGTCGCATGTGACTTCCAAGAACTTTGAGTTGTTTGTTGTCAGAACTTTTACGTCATCGTGTTTCACATTGAGTTCGAGCAGGTTTTGTTTGGAGTTGTGCTTTGAAGAAGTGGAAAAGATCGCCGAGATAGAATTTCGAACATAACCCATCAATATCTTGGTCAGACGCCAAGATCGAATAGACTATGGTAGAATAGAGAGCTTCGATAGTTAAAAAATAAACAAATGGGAAGAGAATACCACCCTGGAAAACCCCCTGTTTATTCTTACGGAGTTTGTAAGTTTCACCTCGGAACTGTGTCGCTGGACGTTGACCATTCAGGCAGTCTACCACTTTAGCTTCGTCGATAATGAGGAATCATCCATAACCGATAGTAGCCGTGAATGATTCACGGTGTAAGAGGCTTTTTTCAGATGCAGTGCTACCACGATGGTGCGAGAGCAAGACCGGTTTTGATTAAGGCCATGCACAATCTGCGTGCTTGTTACGTTAAGGACAGAAATCGTCTCACTACTGGAGAAATGAGAGATATCGGCAGGTTTCTCCGGTTAAAGTAGACGGGCCATTCTACAGATTTTCCACATATCGGGTATTTTTTGGGTGATCAAAGTCAGATTGAGAACTATGGTGTGGTCAAAATCCGTTTCAACGATGTAACGTTGAGTTTTATAATATGTCATAGTTCAATGAATTAAGAGAAAGCGACTATGCTGACGTCCGTCAGGGCGTTAGTGCCCCGGCTTAAAAAGTTTTCAAGGCGCTACGCGCCGATTGAAGCAGAAGAAGAGGAAGTCTTCCACTCCATTGGAGAGATTAGGTGAAAAAGAACTTGTTTGAACTTGTCCAATTCATCAGAATTTATGTTTTATTAGAAATCTCATGAAAAACATACCAGTCTTATTCGTGGAACTGCTGTTCTTCGCCATTTCAACTGTCAATTTAAACTTCACTTAATCATTAGAGTTTCCAGCGTACGGCAACGCCATGCTTTGCCTTATATACCCTGAAATTAACATAACGACAAGAGAGTAACAGAATTAAGGGCAGATGCGACTGTGACTGGGTAGTGGGTGTGGGGTTAGCCATATCTGATAACTGCAAACGCATGAGCGTGAGTGGAAATAGTCGCTTAATGGGGGATGTTTCACAACAAACAGCAATAGTTGTTCATGAAATTTAAGAGAACACATAGCACAGTGAGGAGAGGATTTCGCATGAACTGCTGTAATGATAGTGCCAACAAAAATCGATTCCTTGAACCCCGTTAAGCTAACATTCAAGACACGAGTTGTTGTCCAGCACAAAATCACTACAAAACAGCGCCAGCAAATAGATAAGTTGTGACAGTAGATTTTAGCTACTCGTTGCTGAAAGCCAAATCCAAAAGCAACTCGACCATCATTACGTACGAAGCACGAAAATCGAACCACACTACCGAGTGGCCGAGGATGATGACCCACTTTTCGGAATTTTTCGCATTAAGAAACAGCAAATAATGTATTGGATTCCAAAAAAATCTATATATATATATATGTATAATTTTAGTGTTAAATTAAATTGTGTAAATAATATGTGTACATAAAAAAGTGAAGTGAAAAAGTAACGGTTAATAATGAAAAGCAGTTAAATAAGTGAAAATACTAAAATTGAAAAAAAAGACGGGGGACGACAGTCGAGCCACGCACATCGTAGTATGTATGTCGAAAAATCCACAGGCAGAAAAATTTGCTCTATACTAAAATATGTAGAACGCCAATGGTGCTTCAGCGGAGCGCTAGCAGAGGCTATACAGAAAATTACTGGCACAAAGTGATAAAGTTTAAATGAAAATCGGTCGGTCGAAAAGCTGGATTTCATGGAAACGCGTGTGAAAATGTGCTAAAATTGTGTTTTCTAAATAGAAAAATTAATGAATGAAAAATGTTGGAAAATAAATATGTTAGAAATTAAGTAGATAGAAAGAAATGTGTATAATTGTAAAAATCCATAAAATAGTCGTGTAACAGAGTTTTTTTTTCTTATTTTACATACATACATATGTATGTACATATGCATACTCACACGCTACAAATACTGTGAGCTGGCTAGAAATGTAGAACAAAAGTTGGTGAAAAAAATAATAATATTATATATTTACATATGTATGTATGTATGTAGATATGAATTATGGAAAGATATATCCAATGCTGGGTGAAAGTGGGTGAAAAAAGTTGCAAAGCATACATACATACAAACAGTTCTACATACATACATAGGTAGATGCATACATATATACATACATACATACGCAGTCATGCTTGTAAATATGTGCAATGAAATGCATTTATGAAAAATAACTAAATTCCTCCGAAATGCATATGTAAATTATAAAACGGCACTATCAAATAACAGTATATATACATATATATATATATATATATTTGCATACCAACCAATACATACATATAATGAAAAAGCAAAAAAAAAATTAAAAACATAAAAATATTAAATTAACCATCCATAAAAGTACGGAGTAAAAATATTACAACACAAACAATCACCAAAAAAAAAAGAAAAATTACATAAAATACATACATACATATTTCTAATAAAATATCCTCAAAAATTATATTAGTCGTAAAACAAAAAATCATAAATCGCTGGTTTAATATAAAAATACAAAAGTAGAGAATTAGCGTAGTGAAAAATATCGGAAAATTGTTAAAATACGTACGGTGGAGAGTTAAACTTTCCACGCGAAAATAAGCATATCGACACGCAAACGGGCAGGAAGTGGCAGCGAAGGGCCAGCAGGTGGTACGTTTCGGCAGAAAATTCATAAGAGTTGCACACACACACACATACGCTTGCCAACATATATATATACATATATATATATATATATATATATACATAAAGGCAGCAGTAACAAAAACACGCCAATACCCAAGCTTAGACAGCAAAATCGTCTACATACATATGTCAACATACGAGTATATTACATACACGCCAACAAATATGCATACAGTAATGTACATATAAACGTTCGAAGGGAGACGCAGAGTGCAGTGCAGTAGTTGATTAGGTTGACGTTCGCACGCTCACACGCTCGCACACATTTGCACATTCGCCAACCAACACGCTCGCCACAACGCTATATAAACGTATTCGTGTACAATCGGTTGTACGGTTATATTGCTGGTAACATTATTTTCTCCGGCTGATTGGCGAAATGTATTCATATCTGGTTTGTTACAGCAATTCGTCGCGTAAATGATTGCATACATACCTAAATACGTCCAACGGAGGATGTGGCAGCAGAAACACAAGAGCAGGTGTCAGGATCTAAAAGAGCAAAAACAACAACATACCAAAAAGATAACAGGCAATAAAGTCTCGATTAACGCGCAAAAATTATCAAGCAGAAATAAAACCAGACAACAACAACAACAATCGCAGTAGTAAATTAAAAAAAAAAAATAAATAAATAAAAAACAAATTAAAAAAATTGAGCAACCGAAAAACCGTAAAAATGTAAGTACACTCCCGTATGTTAATAGCTATATCAGTTCATATAGTACATAATTACATATATGTACAAACATATATGTATGTATATTTTATTATTTAGAATTTGCAAGCAAAAAACACAATCCTCCGTGGAAATATCGTTAGAAATATTTCAATATTTATATTTTGATTTTATTACTGTGACAAATGTTGTCGCGTGTTGGCTTTTACAATGTAACGAGCGCCGCAAGCAAATTGCCCTCATCCCCTTGAAAAAAGAGAAAAAATACACCACAAAAAATACAATGGAAAATTATGAAAAAAAAGTAAATGGAAAAGAGAAAAGAAGTAAAACTTTGCGCTTGCACGCGTGCATACATACATATACATTTATACAGACACATACACACATACATATGTATGCATGTAGATATGAATCTACCCTTGCACCCATTCCTGTGCACAATAGTAAGTGTACATATGTACATATATACATACATACACACACAAGTATCTAAGCAAATATTCCTACATGCTCTCTTGTGGCTTACGCATGTGTACATATGTACATATATACATACATACACACACAAGTATCTAAGCAAATATTCCTACATGCTCTCTTGTGGCTTACGCATGTGTACATATGTACATATATATGTATATCAGTAAAAACAATTATTTCCTTCAATGCTTTACAACACAACACCTCTTCTTTTCCTCGCCTGGAGTTGGCCTTTCTGATAAGCGAACAAGCGAGCGAATCATCAAAATGCTGACCGAGCACTACCATGTCGAGCATGTCAACTTAGATACCAATTCTAGCAACAAAACGGCTGGTTGGTGAATTTCAAACGTTTGAGAGCAAAATTTGGTATACTCATTGTGGTGATTGTGTTGGTTGTGGTGGTTGTTCACAGAATACTCATACGCCCTGTGCGCCCAAATCTGTTGTTACTGTTTGTATTTATTATCAGCAGCAAAAGAGCACAAGTACACAAGAGCACAAGAGCACAAGAGCATGAGCGCATGAGAGCGTGTGATAGCAAAAGAGCATGAGCGTGAATGAATAAATATGAATGAATGAATGTATGAGTGGTGCGATGCGCTGATTGAGGGGGCGATTGAGCGTGTGCGGTGGCATGACGAAGGTGCTGATTTTACCTTCGTGCAAAAGTGTAACAGCGAGTTCAAGCAGCTAATGTGGCACAAAGAAAATTCATTTTTTTTTCGCTAAATACACTGTTTTTTTTCTTGTGGTTTCGTATTGACGAAAATATTTTTGATTACATTGTTTTAACCATAAAATGGTTGAATGTGATTAAATATGCTAGCTCTAATTGCTATTGAACGAACTCAGCGTGTATGGATTAAGTTTATATTACTTAATTTGTATTTTGTTGTAAATAATGCACTCGTTATATTTGACTTATAGTCAAAGTAAAGGAACTACATTCATATACAATCTTAATTATTCAAAGAAATACTTTTGAAATTTTATTCAAAATGTAAAGAATATGTTTACATAATGATAATGATGAGAGACTACGAATTCTAATTAAATTGAAATTAGTACCACAAACCCAAATTTTCTCAAAAAACATATACAAATAATCTGTCAAAATAATAGCACTGGCAAGAGTATTAAAATTGTACTAATATCGTTTATTGTGGTTTCAATATGAGTGACTTTGGCGGCCGCGATAGCCGAGAGGTTAGAATTGCGTACTGGCTCGGGTTAAAATCCCCGTGCGGCCAACATCCAAAAGTTATAGAAAATTAATTTAAATAAAAAATTAAGCCAAAATTTCTAATTGCGGTCGCCCCTCAGCAGATAATGTCAACACCTCCGAGTGGGAAAACTGACATGAAATAAAGCACCGCATAAAAAACTAAGTGGCGGCTTCGTATAAACTGTAGGCACCTCCATTTGTTGGAAAAACATCAAGACGCAAAACTACAAATTGGAGGAGGAGCTCGGCGGAAAATCACTTCAGCGGCTACAAAGCGTCAATTATATAACTATCCTTAATACTGGTTTAAATATTTCATTTTATTAGAAATAACTGCTTTACAATCTCTTCCCGTGGAATTGACCAAGTTGTGATACAGCAGTAACGAAATAGAGTGCCAGGTCCCTTGGCCTCTGCTCCAAGGATAATTATTGTTAGTCGGATAACATATTCTTAACAACAGCGCAAAAAAACCTCGTTTGGTGTTTAAATCTGGTAACAGTGCAGAAAGTTCCTTCAAAGGGGCATTATTTGTCCTGAAACTACTTTTTAGCTGTATTGCTGGTAAATTCTTGTTGCCTTGAACAAATCAAGATACAGCAACATTACTTCCTCCATTCTTTTTATGTATTCTTTTGTATCCATCATATCCATATCATAATACTTCAACTTTTGAATAATATGTTTACAGCTTCACTAGGCGTGCTCCTTAGCGCACCTCTGATACACATTAATGCACTTCTTGTCATCTATCAATTTATATCGAACTATGAAAACGATGTTTCCGAACAGATCTACACACTATGATTCTGTCAAAGAGCTATCTACATATTTTCCATATATTGAGCAAAACCGGCCCATCGAATGGCGGAGGAAAAATGTGTGTTCCAAATTTCAAGTAGACCCACCGATTTAAAAGTACATTTGATATTTCCCTATAGATCGGTTCCGGGTCCACTTACCGGAAAAGCTTTTCTTATCGGGAGCGTTCATCTTATGCGAAACACACGCTCCAAGTACTAGGTCTCTACGATCAGTGGATTTGGCTAAGGGTAGATCCGTCAGTCTTTCCGGACAAAGCCTTTGATGCGCATATAGAATAAGCGCTGGTCATTATGTTTTAAAAATGACTTCCAGTTGCCAGGGCTAATTTTCGACCATCTTTTTGCATCGAAATCAATGAGTCAATCGTCTCGGGTTTATCTGCGTAGATAAAACGGACTATTGTTCAGCTGTGGTGAATCGCACGTTCTTTGAAGCCACGCCCAAGGTGCACGACGCGAGATAATGCGCTTACCAAAAAACTTACTGTTCATCATCGAATTTCGGTACGAAAACGTCATTAATCCATGGCGTTCCTCATTGACTGTGACTGTTTGAGCGTCTTCATTTTTGAAGAAATATGTACCGATGATTCCCTCTGCCGTTGGCGCGCATCATATAATGATTTTTTGAGGATTATCATCATTCCGCATGCGGTAATTTTGTTTATTTGCGCATTTATTCAAACAATAGAGTGCTTCATAGCTTAATAATAACTTCAGTTCTTGTACGAGCTGGATTTTTTGAGTCCGTAAACTAAGATCTTTTGCAAAATCTACCATATAGTGGATGGGTGAAGCTTCAATTGCGGTGTGCGATGGAGGATGAAGTCACTCGGATTATCTTTGATACTTTTGCGCCAAGATTACCGATATTACACGAGAATATTCATAAATAAAATTGACATTTAACTATCTTCTCTAATTTGAGGTGTCCATCTTGCTGTTTTTCTAACAAATGGCCCACATTTTAATCGAAGCCGCCTCCGAACGGCTGATAAATTTCTATGAAAAAACTACTAATTTCACGTTAGAACTAAACACGGAGGGCTTCAAATACCCTGCCAATGCGACCAAGAGGCGACCGCAACTACAAAAATTGTTATTGAAATAACTTTTTTCTTGATTTCAGTTGTTGGTCGGAGTATGCCTCGATTCCTCTACCTTGCGCATAGTGGTACACTTTGCTAATCATTCGACTAATGCGAAAGATTACAAGTAAATATTTTTAAAAAACAATATCTGGATGTTTTCTTAGGCGTTAAGAAAGATAAAATGAAAAGAGCACACGAAAATGGCTTTGTTGAAATGGTTTCACTTAAAAGCTTCTAAAAATACTTAAGCTAACAAAAATATACACGTAATCGCATATACATACTTACATTTATATTCATCTAAATTTTTTAGCACGAACAACAGCAATGTCTATTAGATTGAATTGAATAACTGTAGCAATAAAAACTGTTATACATAAGCACTCCAGAAAAGGTCCTTGGGCGTGTGTTGTTATTATTATTGTTTTTTGTTTTTGTTTTCTTTTTTTTTTGGCAATTTTGCATCGATTTCAGTTCACGCTGAGTTTTCTTACTTATAAACTTAACTCTATGTGTGATTGCACATATATATATGTATATATATTGTGTATACATATGCATAGTGTATACTCATTTCGTGCACATAGCTGATAAGGTGAACTATTTTACATATACACGTACATTGCTCTGTCACGGCGGCACAATCGTTGGTAATATTTCAACTGTTTCAGAATGTATATGTACGCAAGTATGTATATATTGAAGATTGTTAGTTGTGATATCGCAACTTCCATGGCACTTTTATACTTAGAAGGTTGCAAAGCTTTGAAAAGGAAGTCGTTTTTACGCTTGGAACTGTGAATGGATTAATATACATGTAGTTATTATATTTTTATGCACAAAAAAAAAATATTATTTATAGTGTTGCTGCGAAGCAAAAGATCGAAAGTTGAATTGACCATAATTTTATTTTGATTATTAAAATTTGGCAACTTATAATTTATTCTAGTATTTAATTTTTTGGTTCATATTGAAAACTAAGTCGATCTATGCTTTTTTTATCGCCTACTAAAGCTTATTGCAATACATTTGCCAGTAGGTAACTCATACGCCATGACAAACGTCTCCTCTGTAAAGTATTTACATTTGCAATTGATATTTTATATTTTAATTTGCCGCATTTTGTAAGTTGTGTAACAATTATTCAAAGCAAATTATTATTAGTTTCTCTTGAAATTACTTTATTCATAACATAAAAACATAAAATTTTGTAACATTTTTTAGTGGGATAATTTTGAAGTGAGAATGAAACTTTCCTTCTTATATATACTCATAAACACAATATTATACATATGTATGTAATAATTAAAGAAAACAATAATTTACAAAAAAAATTTAATTTCTATATTAACCTGAAAACAAAGCTATTATGAGTG